GAGAACCTCAACGTCACCTCATATATGGTGATTTACTAGGTGAACTCACAAGATTCAGTGTGTACTCACATTCAGATCATGACTCATTACTGCAGAAATATATAAAGCAAAATCAAGAAAAAGAAAGGGCACATGAGATAATGTCTGGAGAATCCAGGCGCGAGTTTCCAAGAGTCCTTTTTAAAGGCACACAGGACACATTTCATTTCTTCAATAAATTATGACAATGTATCTGAAGTATTATCTCACAGGAAATGTCATTAGTCCCCAAGGTTTTATTGGGAGCTGGCTACAGAGCTATGTCCTGTCTAGCATGTACCCAAATTCCAGAGTCCTAGAAGAAAGAGAGGTAGTCAGTATAACCTTATTACTTGAACAAATAGTTTAAGCACAGTGATGTGTATTTATCAAGGAATGATTGGAAGTCTTTTCCCCTGCTAAATTTCCAAATGCCAGTCAAGAGCTTGCTATGAAGAAAACTTTCTAAGAAGAGCAAGTCTTACACCTACTTTATTAACTCTGCTCTGAACAATCTCATCTTCAGTTGGAGGTAGGCCTGCAAGTGTTTTTTAAAAGTCCAGCAAGAAAATTACTGGATTATAGAAGAACTCTCAACTGCCAGTACTCAGAGGAGTCAAAGGAAAGTTCACCTAAAAAGACAATATTTAAATTTGATCTGGAAGAATGTGTATAATTTTTGGAGCTGAGAGAAGGGCTTTATCTGTGCAAATGTAGCTGAGTTCATTGTTGCTAAGGTGATTATTGAGAAATTGTGTATGGTGGGAGCACCAGGCCTGACAGGAAGATAAGGGAGCAGTAGTGAGCGAAAGCTTAAAGTATTTTATACTTGGGTGGATAGTTAGGGTAGATTTAAAGACCTGGGAAGCTAAAGATTTCCTGCAAAGTTCTAGGAAAATATGATGACTAGGCTCCACACAAAATCCTTAAACCCTCAAGACAAAACATTTTCTAAGCTCCAGATCCTATGGCTACCTAACTCAGTAATATTATCAGTCAAAATCTTGAAGCCAGTTGAGGTAGTCTGTTCATTATTGGACATAACCAAGGATATAGATATTTTTGTAGAATTTCCTCTTCAGTTCTGCAATAAATTGAGATGCAAATCCATATGGCAGTCTACCTGAGCCAAATGTTTTCATCTGTTTTCAAATCAATCTAACCAGTAAATTTGCTTGCAGGTAAGAGACTGAATAATCCTTTAGATGGTTCACAGTGGTGATTTTGTTCACATGCAAAGTATAGCAGTTCATGTCCAGGTGTATATTGGTTATGGATTCTAATTAATATCAATTGCATGTCAATTCATGCAGTTCTTTTGGTGGTTTGCCAAGTATACATGAGGTGTAGAGTTTATTTGCAGGGGTTGCTAAATTGGTTTAAACTGTTATAATACATAGTTATGGTTACATGTGAGATATTTAAATAAAAAATAGCTAGGATATTATATAAAGTAAATATATCCTGCTTGGCACAACTTTCTTTCCTTTTGCTTTACTTTGTTTTATAATACACAATGCCACAAAAGAGATTTCAAGCTTTACAAAAATATATCATGAAGTTTTACATGAGTGCCTTGGTCTCCTCTCAGTATAGCTAGATATTATGGGGTTTCATAATGTGGAAAAGTGATGAAGTCTCTTCTTCAGTAAAAATTTATCTGCTATTTTAATTAGATAGAATATTTCAAGAATGTGTTAAGATCGATTTATATATTGTTGGTACAGACATGCATGTTTTTTAAAGCTTCCTTTTCTATTATTCAAATGGAAGTCATTAAATATAGTTTATGTTTCCATGAGCTAGCTGCTGATTAACATCTAAAACAGAATATGTTGGAGAAAATTGATGAACCATGTACTCCTGAATTATGAACATAAGGTCACATTTGCTTTATGCGCTGGTGTGACGCCTTGCTTACTCGTAACAGAACCAGAGACAAAGAGTGAAGTTTAAACACAGCAGCCCGAAGGGTATCTACAGAAACCCAACCTCAGGCTCACAAATGTTCTCATTACAAAACCTCTCAGACCCTTCTTGAGAGCCTGTTTGCTCTTGGTAAACACAATGAGAGGGAGAAAAGATTCATTTTTGGAGTTTGAGGGAGCAGATTGTAGGAGGAGCAAACATGTGGGTCTTATGTTATATGTAGCTAAAAAGAAAATGATCAAATTAATGGTAGAGAAGAGGAACTAAAAAATACATGAACAAAAATGAAACAGAACTAAAAGGCCAAACACAGTGGTTTACAGTTGTTGCCCAAGCTTCTCAGGAAGCTAAAGCTAGACTATCTCTTGAGCCCAAGATTTGGAGACCAACCTGGGTAACGCGGAGAGATTTTGTAACAAAATAAAGCAGGAACAAAAGGAAGGAAAGAAGAGAAAAAGGAGGAAGGAGAAAAAGACATGAGGAGGGAAGGAGGGAGAGAAGGAGGAATGGAGGATAAACAAGAGTTGCTTTGAAAGTCTGATGTCTTTAATGAAAACTAATTATTTACATATGTTTTTACTTGTTTATATTTTAGAGCATGGGTGTTCTGGTTGAAGCCCATCCCTTGGGGTATAGATTCTTTTTTAAAAAAAAATTATTTTCTGTCTGCATTCATTTAATCCATGCACTGCGTGAACTTTGGCACCACTGCTTATCAACATTGGCTCCTGTCTAGGTTTTCACTTGTTCCGCCCAGACTCTTGTCATTCACTGTGGTATAATTTGCAGCAGGCCACACCCCCTGTGCAAGCATGCACACATCTCTCTTCAGTTGACCTAAGTTTTGTGCTATGTGGTCTTATCTAGTTGTTCCAAACTTTTATTGCTTACCTTTGTTGTAAGCCACCTCATATATTTTTGATAATGAGGAAGGATATATAAATATAGCAAATAAAATTGCTTTATGTAGCTTTGCCTAGCATCATAGGTCTTACAGCCTGACACATTCCTAGGTAAAGCTGTCTGCTTTTGCCAGTAAGATATTTTAATTTCCATTAAAAATATGGGCTAACCGAAGTGCAGAGATGTTTATATGTTACACTGGTTCTTACCACAGCAAGGCTAGACAGAAAAATTCCAGCCCAATTTTTGAATCTTTGCACACCAGCTAGATCTAACCCTATAGCCTTATTTTTTATTTTACAGAGAATAAAAAATAAGAAAAAAGCAATAAAAATGATACAGAATTTCAAAATAAGATGATAGGAAATTAACAGTGGTTATTATATTGCATATTGCTATCTTTAAAGTAATTGTTCAGATTACTAGATATGGGATGCAAAACTGATCAAACAATTAAGCATTAACTATTCCTTTCAATAAACCAGTAGAAATTAGTAGTACAATTATCTCAGCTATCATATATATGTATTTTTCTCCCTTCCTTTCTTCCATCCTTCTTTATTTTCTCCTTTCCCCCATCCCAGTTATTCTTTTATATTGTGAAAGGGAAAGAAACTGCCAGCCCTATAGTTCTTGCTTCAAAGAGACTGTTAGCAATTCACGCATTCTTTCCCTTTTTCCCACAGTCAGTGAACATACTAGTACTGTTCAGTGGCCAGGAGAGACAAGAATGTTGCAACATTTTCTAGAGTAATGATGACAGTACTGATTAGATTTGCTTGGAACTGGGGGACCCTCTATGATCCTTTATATACATGAGTTTATTTTGTCCTACAATCCAGTAAACTCAACATAATACTGCATTTCCCTGGCTTTCCCATGTAGAGTTTTGGTTATGGATGCTCCTGTGGTCTTTTTCAGGGTAGGTGTTTATCTCAGAACTCTATCCACTAAGGTAACAGGCTCTAAGGGACCATTTAGGCTCTCTGCTAAACCAAAAACTGTGCTCTCCAGGTAGAATTATTAGCACCTTTGTGAGCTGAAAAAAATATATTTTAGGCCATTATGCAGTGGTTAGTAGCAGTACCCTTAAGTTAGTTTCTGTAATTTTTAAGCAGCTGCTACAATGGTATTAGAAGCTCCTTTAAACACATTTTGCTTTCTTGGAATGTTCTTGTATTAAGGGAGTATCATGGCTGTAATCAAATCACTGCTCTTTTAGTCTTTTTAAAACGCATTTCTGGCCAGCTGTAAAGTCAGTTGATTCATATCTGTTGGTGAAGGTGGGGTAGAGAAAGGCTGTTCTTCTTGCTCAGAAACTGAATTTTCAAGCCTGGAGGTACATCTTCCCCTGCTGACCTGCTGAAATGAAAGACTAGGAGTCATGATTAAATCTAATTTTACCCCCGCTTAGTGGCAGGATGAGCTGGGTCAGCAGGGCCAGTCCCTGCAGATGGCTTTAAAATACCTTGGTGATTTGATCTCCTTGCTGTCCCATCCATTTCTATAAGTGCCTGTCACTGTCATCCTTTACTACCCTGACAAGATCCCAAGGTGAGAACAGTACAAATGAACGGGAGTGTTTGTGATGACTCCTTGGGGTGTTGCTTATTAGATGAGTTAGGCAATGAACCAAGGCTGGCTTGTAAACCGCAAGGTAGGTTAGCACATTTACAGGAAGAGAATCGCATGTGTGATTTAACCCATATTTTGCAGCCCGGCATAATTCCTGTGAAAGGAATGTCATCTTACACTGTAAAAATGTCTGCTTGGTGTTTTCAGCTGAGCTAAAGATCCCTTGGTTTGCTTCCTTTGCTTGGGTCCTACCTGGCTTTTTCACAACAGCTAGAGAATGTGTGTGAGGTTTGTGTGTGTGCAGGGATTGAGGGAGGGAAGAAAAATACTTTGCTGCTGGTAGGGTGCCTGTGTGCTATCTATACACTCAGCATTATCACAATTTCTAGTGTATTCTGTAATTGCATTCTACTCAGAGATGCTCACAGAGACTCAAGAATACTGCATGTAAGCTGATTCCACTGTGATAAGTGAGTTTTCTATGCTCATGACCGGCAGAGCTCCTTTTACCTCTCTAGTAGAAATGATGCCTATGAGTCATATCAAGAGGTAACATACTTCCATTTCTTTTGCAGAGTGGAGGTATGAAGTGGCTCAGGCCTCCTCTCCAACAGAAGAGGACGTGGAAGTGGATTCACACGTGTACGGCCACAGGTGGAAAAGGAGTTTGGAGACTCTTAAGGCAGTGGACACAAACCGAGCCAGCATGGGCCAAGACTCTCCAGATCCCAGAGGCTTCACCGACCTGGTGCTGGATGATGGGCAGGACAACGCCACCCAGATCGAGGTAGATAAATCATCTGGGTCACTGAGATGGGTTAAGAATAGATTCCTTATAAGGTATCCAAGCTCTAGGCTATCTCTTCATCTCAACCCAGACCCTTCCCATTTTTTCTTTAAAAAGTGAGTCATTCATTAATAGAATAGCTAAGCCATTTAATCACTACTAATTTACTTACCTATCACACAAGCATTGTTTTGGTGTGGTTGACAGTGAGAAGCAGCTCAGTACCTGCTCTGAAGGAAGTCACTGTGTCACGATTTCTAAGCACCATAATCACATTATCTCTATATTGGATGACAGGTGCAAAGGAGTGCACGGTAGTAGGACATGCAGGAGAGCATGACCACTCTCGCTTGGAAGTGGGAATTGGGATGTTAACAAAGAGGCTTTGCCCAGGACTAGACATTTAGGAAGGCTTAGAAGATGGAGAAAAGTCCATTCCAATGATAACCTGGAAAGAGAAAAAAATACGTTCCTGGCAGAGCGTGTGGATTTCCCACTCTGAGTTCTTGAGAGGTGAAATGTCATGGCAGTCTGAAGAGTCTTGAAAGGCGAAGAACTTTTCTACTTCTCCCAGGGCGGTCAGTGTTTCCTAGGAGGTAGGATTTCCAGCAAAGAAACAGTTCCGGACAAACTGGGATGCTTGGTCAGCCTTTGCCTCTCAGTTTTCCTTTGTTATGGTTGGAGCTATGCAGTGAAAGAGAGCTGGGCGGTTGGAAAGCAGCTTGGTGAGAATGACGTTTGTAAAGGGCACATTTCCGGCAATTTCTGAGATTGCTCCAAGGCCTCTAAGGTGGTATTGCATTTCCTAAGTTTCCATAGTCCTTCACATTGCAAATCGTAAAATATGATCTTGCTTGGAAGTCGTGGAAATGAGCAAAGACGACCCAAGTGAGACTACCCGAAGGTTATGTATTTAGTTTTCTAAAGAAGGGAGTCAGTGGCCGTCGTTGTCTTTGCCGGGGACTCAGAGGAAGGTAGAGCGGTGGAAATGTCTTGTGCAAAAAGGAAAGACTTCAGCTACACTCTGATTGAACACTGTTGGCTTCAGAAGCTAAAAACAGATTAAACAATAACATCTCAGGTGAACTGAGGAATATACTTCTATTTCTATGGTGTGGTTGATCCTGACTTGGAGGCAGGAAAAGAAAAAAACGCAACAAGCTCCCAGTGAGTAACCAAGTCCGGACCATTCTCAGCTGACTGCTGCCGAGGCTGTGGTTTGGCTGCTTGGACTGCTTGCTCTAGAGGTTGAAGTCAGAGTTCTGTTTGCGACACACGCTATGGCCGCTTTCCGCTCGTACATTCTCTCACATCTGATTTTTCAATCCCTGCTTTATTCAGGATGACAGGCTTATCATTTTTAAAACCAGGCAATACTCTTTTTACTGCGCTATAGTCCCTGTATACTCATGATTTAGGAAAAGAACTCAACTTCATGAAGCAGATATTGCATAGTCCTCTAACGAGCATCTAGGTATCATTTTGTTCCTTTAGAGTGAGGGAAATCTTCAGAAGATCTGAAGCACAGGCAATTGGAATTCTGCTCATCTGAGAAACTCAGTGATTTCTGACCCTGCCCCCCTGCATGGCTGTCGTTGGTCTGTGGCCGTGATGATCCCTGACTTTACCAGCCAGAACCTTTGACCAGCAGCAGAGCGTGTGTAGAGAGGAAACTATATATAATCTATAAGAGGCAATTCTGACTCCTCAGGAGAAGCCAGCTATTTTGGGAATGATGTCGTTATAGCATCTTGGAGGAGGAAGCAAAATCCTTCCCTACTCCACTCATTTGCTGGGTTACAGCATAAAGAAAGGAGGGTTGAACTGAAAGAATGTGAGATATGTCCTCTCTGCCCAGAATCAGGACCTGGCAAACCAAAAGGAGAAAGCACAGATTCCTGGAACTCTGTAGTCTCTCTCAGGGAGTCCCCTACTTTCCTAATCACATATATAACAAAAACTTCCTGTGTTCAGGGATGTATTATCACTCCTCAAAATATATAATTCCATTGTCATCATAATGGGGACTGTGTTATTCTGCCATATTTTATCTTTTGTCCTTAGAGGGATACTAAAAAAGATCAGGAGTTTTGAGTTAGTAAAGAGCAGGAGGAAGGTTGGTATGGTGACAAAGTGATGGATACTCACCTGGGGCTGTGTTCTGCCAGGTGCTGGGTGAACACTGTCTTGTTTGGTCCTTTTAGCATCCATGTGAAGTTGGTGTCCTTGGCTTCCTGGACAATGGAAATGACATTTTACATGAGGGGAATTTCATATTTAGGGTTAGTATTTCCTAATATGTCACATTAACCAGTGAATAGGCTTGTGTTCAAACTCAGGCTTGCCGAAGTCCTAATATGTATACCTTCTATGTAGTATACTCTCCATATGGTAATAGGAAACACAATGGCACTCATATTATATAATGATTTTGGACTGGCAGCCAGTGAATATCTATATGAGAATAACATAGGATTTCAATCTGACTAGAAGACTTATCTTGAAGGTCTGGGTGAATAATAAGAACATCCACTGCTTGTACTTTAAGATTTATTTATTGTGATGAAGTTCTGGGATTTGACAGAGATGACTGGGAACCTACAGTTCCCTAAGTGACTTCCAGGCACTGCCATCAGGTTTGGAAGCAAAAATCTTGTCTGGAATTTTTCTGTAATATTTTATCTATCTTGATAATGATTATGGAGTGAGTAACATTGGATGGTCATTGTGACAAGATCTTTCTTACCTTTTAGGAGCAAACATTTTGGTTGATATTATTAAATACAAACAGGAAGCGTGAAAGATTCTGTGTGCCTTTTTCCTTAGATGCTTTCGAAGTCAATGTCAGAAATGAAAATTATTTGGTCCAGAGCAGCCCTAACTGTAGCAGTGTCTGTTAAAATCATTTCTTTCCCAGGGAGACATAAACCACAGATTGGCAATCTTGACTTTGTTGTCATTTCTTCCATTGTCTAGACTTACATCCCAGTGTCACTGAACAGCAGCAAAGAACAACAAAACGATAGAAGACAATAGCATGTTTATTCTGGTGGCACAAATTCATTGGGAAATGAATGATGATTGTTACTCTCTTAGCATTGTACTTGGTGACAATATTTTTTCTGGCTCTGTCCAAGGATAGATAATAGAAGGATTGTAAAACTTAGTGTCGCTGTTAAAGAGTTCTTGTGGCTATGACTTTCTTTTTTTTAAATATTATTCCCATAAGATATAAAAATGTTTGGAAATCATCTGTATTTCCTCTTGAATAAACAGGGATGCACAGCTGGCAACTGTTACTGTTGATGAGAGCACTGATTTCTAGAAACCTGTTTTTTGCTTTTTTTCTGTTCATGTGGATGTATGATTGCTTATACATGCTAGATGAGAATAAAAGTGTCGCTGATGGTAAGTGGGATTTAGACATGAGGTATCAGAAAACAACCACTAAGTGTGCTTCTTTCTGTAGTTATTTGAGGAATATAAAAGTTTGCAAGCCTTTCAGGTAAGATTGGATTCCATCCATGACTTGGCTTTATTTAAGCAACCTTCAGTGAATGCCACGGTCCTCAGGGCACAGAATAATAAGGCAGGGCCTAAATCTTCACCTGGAAGCTGGCTACGTTTCATTTCCCAGCAAGAACAGTGATTCATAGACAGGTGCAGGCTTTAGTACAGCTGAGACTTACCGATGCTTCATAAAGCCTAGTTTCAACAGCCTATTCCTCCAGGCTACCACTGAGATCTTATGGTTTTTGGAAACCAATCACAACTATCTTTGTGAAGCACTGAAACAAATATGTGTTTTTTACCACTTCGTCACATCAGTATTTGGAACTGTCATATTCCCTCTCTTAGGACAATGAAGTGTTGATGAAAGAAAGTTATTGAATGTTGTTTTACCTTGACTCAAAAGCCCCTGAGTGACCTGAAGAAGGGAGATTTTAAACATAGGGCGTATGTTTTGTATTAGTGTAGCTCCTCGACCCAAAACAACTCAGAAATTGTGAGTGCCTCAGAACAAGCCAGTGCCTCTGGAACTTTATTTTTTCAGTTTGAAGAGAATAAAAATTTTTTTAAAACATGAAAAATGATACAGCATTTCAAAACAAGATGATAGGAAATCAACAAATTATATTGCATATTGTCATATTCAAAGTAGTTGTTCAAATTACCAGGTACAGGCTTGCAAATTAAACAAAAAAATTAAGAAATAACTATTCCTTTCAATAAACCAATAGAGATTAGTAGTACAAGTATTTTAGCTATCTGTGTGTGTGTATATATATATATATTTTTTTTCCCCCTTCCTTCTTTCTTTCTTTTCTTTCCCTCATCCCAGTTTTTTTTTTCCTTTAGAGTAGTTTCTTTCCCTTTTACATTATCTATTGTACCTTTGGATTTTATTTACTCTTTCAGTTTTTTACACTGCAGAGAAAATACAGTGTTTACACATGGGGGTCTGATTTATTTCACTTATGAGTATGATCTCTAGTGGCACCCATTTACCTATAAAAACCTCAAGTTCATCTTTCTTTATAGCTGAGTAATATTCCATTGCATAAAAATATCACATCTTTTTTGGGGGGGATACAGGGGATTGAACTTACAACCTTGTGCTTTTCAAGCAGGCGCTTAGGCCACTGAGCTATATCCCAAGCCCCATCACATCTTTTTTATCCATCCTTCAGTTGATGGGCATTTGGGTTCTTTCCAAGATTTAGCTATGACAAGTTGCACTGCTATAAACACAGCAGCTCAGTTTGTCATATATTGCTGTGATATGATGTTTTCAGTTTTGGAAAAACACTGAGAAGGGGAATAGCTATGCTGAATGAGACCTCTAATCCTAGTTCTTTGAGGAATCTCCATACTGATTTCTACAGTGGTTGTACCAGTTGTACTGCACTCCCACCAACAGTAGAGAAGGGTTCCTTTTCCTCCCACAGCATTTGTTATTGGTTGATTTCTTGCTGATAGCCATTCTTTCTGGGATGAAA